CTCATTATACATATGCATATAAATACGGACCAAAAAAATTAATAAAAAATAAAAATAAACTATCTGAGTTTCTTCTTACCACAATTGCTCCCTTTCTTTCAACATGAAGTATTGCTTGTCACCAAATTGGCAAACTAGGGATGCTTTGAGACTAGAGTCCGTATAGGTGGGGGGTAAATTATCACTGTGAAGCACACTGAGTTACATTGTCATCTATAAAAGTGCTCTACAAATAATATTTGATTGATTGATTGGGTGATACCAAATTTAGTAGCTTGTCATTAAGTATGTAATTTTGTGAGTGTGCAGTGCGTTATCGAGATGATAGAGAACTTGTGGACAAAAAGAGTCAAGGAGTTGTGACATGATTGCCAAAAAATTGCCAACGACTTGACCTGGTGTCAAAGTGACTCGACTTGACTGAGGGTTGAACTGCATGACTTGACAAGCCATTTCATTTAAAGTGTGAAATGGGCATTAAAGGAAAGCGAGAAAGAAAAAAAAAGAGGGGATACTTTTCATTCACGCCATCCTGGCAACCTATTCGGTGTCACTTATTAGTGTGAAGTGGCGACATAAAGAACAACAGCATGGGAGCAACTAGGAGAATGATTACATTGAATCTGTTAACATTTGAGTACAGATAAGTAACGTAACTCGGGGTGGAATATGTTTGTGAAAAGTGTCCGCACCGTTCGTTTCGACCCTGGCGTTTCCGGTCGCATCGTCGTGCAAAAGTAGCTTCCGCCCACTATTTAAAAAGCGATGTGTACTTCGAAAGGAGCGTCTCTGCACCGCAATATAGACGCCAATGGTTGAATGCAAATGAGGCGAAGGGGCATGTTGCTTGCAGTCAATTGTGGTGAGAAAAAAGGCGTGGAGACGTTTTTGTATTCAAGGATGACCGTCTTGATGAAACTGGGAAAAAAAGACTAAAGCAACATACAAGGTTTTTGAAGATGAAAGAGACAACAGCTACAAAGTTTCCTTTCATCTGACTGGTGCATCTAAGGTGGCTCTGTGAACCTAAGCTAGCGAGGTTAGCTCGCTAGTGTAGCTCACCAATCACTGGTCAAATATTTCATGTCATTTCTGCATTTAATTGAAAAGCCAATAAAGTGATGGATTAGACACCACTGACACTGTAGTCTTGAAACCATACAATTTAACACGATGATCGTTATTTAAGCATAGATATCGATACATAGAGTCTAACACAGAGTATTACATCGAAAACTAGAGTCTATACATAGAACACCGTTCAGGTTGTGAGCTTGTCCGCCATATTTGATGTGGCAGCGCCCCTGTGCACTAAAGCACGTCAGCTTCACTCAACTTCAAAAAGTGACAACCTAAAAAGTGCATCAAGTTCATGCCTTTCATTCACACATTTACTCACACTAATTCAATTTGGGGAACAGATTGGCACCCGAAACAACACATGTAGTTTTTAAATCAGATGTCTGTCCATGTTGACACCCACATTCAGCATATTTCAGTATTTGTCACCACATTGACAGTGTGCCACTTAAACGTTATCAACTTGAATACAGTATTCAACATTATTTAAGTGAAGACATTCCTTATGAAAGTTAAGTGGTTTTCATTTCATTTTTAGAGACAATGCACTTTTTGTAGTATGCTCATCCATCCGTTACCTCATCCGCGTATCCTCACAAGGGTTTTGGGCGTGCTGGTGCCTGTCCCAGCCGTCTTCGGGCAGGAGGTGTGGTGCATCCTGAACTGGTTGCCAGCCAATCGCAGGGCCAACAACCATTCACGCTCACAATCCCACCAAGGGACAATCTAGAGTGTTCAATTAATACATACATTGAGGCCGGAGACTGGATTCGAACCTTGGACCTCTGTACTGCGAGGCAGATGTGCAATCCAGTCGAACACCATGCCGCCACCATGCCGCCAAAACACATATTGACAACACAGCAATGCTATTCCCTCTTCTACTTTAAGTTAACATGTCGACCCTCATCATAAATGAGCTCATTTCATGTTTTAATGTTTTATTAGTTTAGCACAGTACATTCATTTGCTTGGATTCCCGAGTCTATGGTGCTTTCATCTTAATGCTATAACATTGCATCTTAAAAGTTTGTTCTATTTCATAACCAGTCACTGATGGTGGAGTGGTGCACTCGCCTGACTTGTGTGCGGGCAATGTGGGATCGGTTCCCACTCAGTGACGGTGTGAATGTGAGTGTGTATATAAAGAATAACGATTGAAGTCGAAGTTTGGTTTCTGCATTAAAAAGGGAAATAAGAGAGGAAGAATGAATGGCTAACAGGCGCCGACTCTGCCATCCTTGGCAATATATACGGGTTGTGGATGATGAACAAGAAGTGGTACTTCTTATTTGTTTTTTTTTTAAGATCACATATTCACACCTCGACTTCAGCATTTGCTGTACACCGTGGCCTGTGTGTTAAACGTATCGAATCTTTTCAATCGTTTTCAGGTTGTGCTCCACTTGTCAGGGTTGTTTTCTGATCATAGTCTATCCAATGGATAGTTAACAGCATAAGCATGCATGTGAGGGTTTTTTTTTTTTTTTTAATGTCTGAATGTGAAGCCCAGATATTTTCTTTGGCTACTCGACTGTCAGAGAGAACGCGTGGGAGGCGATATTCATAGTGGTGCTTTTAGTGGGACTTTTATGAGAGACTTTTTTCCGCGTCTGAAACGAGGCTGACCACACACAGTAAGGTTGCCGCAACACACACACACACACACACACACACACACACACACACACACACACACACACACACACACACACACACACACACACACGCACTGTGCGTCTTTCCTTTTTTAGGGCTCCTACGTGGGCTGCCAGGGGTGTGTTACGCTCGGTGTTTTTGCTTTGGCGAGCCCTCCCCCGTGTTGCGGAAGTGTTGCCGGAAGCAGTGGGAGCTCAACCCAAGTTCTGCGTCAGTGCCACTAAAGAAAGCATCGGGGCTTTCCGGGAGAGGCAAGGGCGTGTGTGTTGTGCGGGGGTGGGGGGAGGTGAGGTACGGGGGACTGTCAGCCCGGCTATGTCACAGCCAGTGTGGGTGGTTGTCTACACACTCGCGTTCGCAGTCTTAGTCACAAGTGTGCTCAGACAAGCTATTCTTGTAGATGCTATAATGCTGGCATGCTCCGAGTAAAGTCCCCCACTTTGGAGGGGAAACGCAACGTGTCAAGACCAGGAACAGGTGTGCGAGCGTGTGTGCGTGTGCGTGTGCGTGTGCGTGTGTGTGTGTGTGTGGGGGGGGGGGTTGAGGGGGAGTGGAGCGCAAGGGCACATGTGTGTTTCCCTTTTAACAAGAGCAATAAAGGGACTTTGACTCGGAGAATTTGCATTGAACAGATGCGAGTGTTTTGGTCTGCTGTGCTTGACGTGAAGTTGATGGGTTCGTGTTTACAAAGCCTCCCAGCCCTTCCAGCACAAACCACCACCTCAAATTACAAAGTGGTCCTCGCGCTGTCCTCCAGCATTAGAGCAATTCTAGCCGCGGCAGGAAAGAAGAAAGGGGGCAAAGTGCTTTTCTGTGGCGGCCAATGAAGGGATAGTAAAGGGAGAAATATGGCAGAAGTTTGTGGCCTGCTCATCCTGGGGGATGTTTTCACCCATGCCGCGCTCCCTCCCCTTCCCGGCTCTGTTTAATGTCTGCCATTTGAGAGACTCCGGAGGGGCTGCACCTGTTTGCCTCTTGGCTAGAAGCCCCCGACTACCTCCTCCTCCCGCCGCCGCCGCCGCCTGCCTGGCTGCCACTCACGCTGCAGCGCCTCCTGGGAGGCGAGAAGCGAGGCGAGGAGGGGGAGAGAAGAGGAAAGGAGGGGAGTGAGGGAGAAGAGCGGGATTGCGTGTGGTGGAAGGGATAGCTGCAGGGCTGGAAGGCGTCCGGGAGTAGGAGCGGAGATGTCGGCGTACAGAGAAAGCGAGAGACCCGGGAGGACTTTAAACTTCCCATGTCCGCTTTCTCACACCCACCTTCTTTTGTGGAGCTTTCTCTCGCAAGTTTTACTCGCCATGTTCTCTTTTCTCCCTTTTCTTTTCTCTCTTTCCGTTTGACCCGTGGCCTTTCTTGCGCAAACACAAACCCATGCTCCATTCCTTCTCCAAACGTCCCAATTCTCTTGCTCTCTTCCAATTTCCTCCTTTTTCCTTTTCCTTTCCTCCCCGCTCGCGCTCCTCACTTTCGTCCGCCTGTCATTGGACCATGCTGATCATTCAAGGTCCCAGCTTCGCTTCCAAATTTCCTAAATGTTTCTGCTTATTTGTCAAGTGAGAATGTCAGAGTTCAACTCACTGACAACATGTGGCACATCTGCACAAGATCAAATTGCGGTGCTTTGTTGAAAGTTGATTAGGCCAGGTAGCACCAACTGACACATTCAAGGAGGTATTGCATCATCAATAGCTTCATTGTCGTCCACAGTGGTGTAGAACTGATTTCTACAGAACTGCACGCGTGAGGAAAAGACAATTTTGGCCACAAATATTGAAATACAGTCACTTGCACATTAAATGCTGATTTGAAATCAAATACAGTACGAACTGCAGGACTTGAAGCAGCCGTGGCTTCTTTCTGGACAGTTGGGGGAGCAAACCAAGAGCATCATCTCGTGAACATTAATGTCGGAAGATGTAGCGGTTTGAGCTAAAGCTGCAGAGTGGACTTGGATAGTTTATTTTAGGCTGTGGATGAGCTCCAACGACATTTTCAGAACCATTGCGGGCTGTTGACAAGGATGGAATAAGACTGTTGGGTTTTGCGGTTACTAGCGAAGATACGTCATTGGCTAACCCAGACGTCCGAGTTGTTTACAAGAATGATATTAAACCCCCAAAATAGCATTTTGTGCATAGAAAAGACTGCAGTCAAAACCGGGCTCGTATCAATCAGCTGAAGTTTTGCACTTGTTGTCTCGGCATGTTGAAATGCTCAATGCATATAAATGCTCACTTCTCTCCTGCGTGTGCCTTTTTGTCCAGAATCGTGGCCGCCTCGCTGAGAAGCGCACCATCCCGCTGCCCCCCAACCGTGTGCCCAAGAAGGAGCTGGCCTCCATCTTCAGCAGTGACGACAGTGAAGGGAGCGAACGGACCAGTGGGGATCATGGCCACATCAAGCAGGAAGACGAGCTTCATTACAGTATCGTGCGCAAGGGGTACGTCACGTTTGATTGATGTGTGACTGAGTAGGTATGTCAGGCTCATTCTGCAACACGTGCAGATAGTTATGGCATTTGCTCTCAAGGCTTGTTGTTCCTTTCTCATTATGTGCGTCTTGACATTATGTTGAGTCATTGATGTTTTTTGTTTTTTTTTTTTCCAGAGCATTGCTTGGTCTGTGCTCAAACTATAATACATTAGCCGCTATGACCTCATGTCATCTTTTTGCACGTTTTGCACCTCAAGCGCCAAATAGTGAAATGACCGCAGGAGCCGACGCTCATCCTGATGGACATCTTTTCTCGCAGTCCATTTAACAAGATTGAGGATCTAAGCGCACGAAGTGATTAATTAATACAAACAGAATAAATCAGACGAGGATTAATGGAAGGAAGAAGTGGCGCTGCCTAAAAGCAACCCCGCACAAATTAAGAACTGCGCTGTCTGGCATCAGCAAACAGATTTGGCCCCCAGGCGCACACTCTATTCATCACGTCGGGAGGAAGTCAGAATGCTTAAAACTCCGTATTATGATGAAACCTGGAAGTGGTTTGCAGTATCTCGGCGAATGAGCGGCTGCCTCACAGCAAGAAGATTCCCGAATTTGATTCCAGCATGGGCCGCTCTGTGCACCTGACTTTCGGGCCTTCCTGTGTTTGAATTGGAGTGTGCACTTTCACCATGCCTATGTGCCTCCTCTCCGGTTACTCTAGGTTCATCCCACAATTAAAAATATGTAAGGTTGATTTCAAGGTGCTGACACCCAGATTTGGATTTGTTGTTCCACAGTCGCTGCCAACTGCTCGTCAGGGAAGAGTTAAACGCAGAGAACACATTTTGCTGGACGTTATGTACATCTATGAATAATCAACAATATTTTTCAATCATGACAACCAAACAGCGCCATTCATCCATCCAGTTATTTTCCGATCCGCTTTATCCTCACAAGAGTCGTGGGAGTGCTGGAACCTCTCCCAGCTGTCTTCGGGCAGGAGGCGGGGGACACCCTGAACCGGTTGCCAACCAATCGCAGGGCACACAGAGACGAACAACCATGCGCGCTCACACTCACACTTGGGGACAATGTTCAATCAGCCTGCCATGCCTGTTTTTGGAATGTGGGAGGAAACCGGAGTACCCGGAGAAAACCCACGTAGGCGCGGGGAGAACATGCAAACTCCACGACCTCTGCACTGTGAGGTTGACGCGCTAACCACTGGAACGCCGGACCGCCCAGCGCAAATCAATCTTCAATAATAATCAGCTTCACACACACACACACACACACACACACACACACACACACACACACACACACACACACACACACACACACAAGCCCCCCAACCCCCACACACACACACACACACGCAGCCATACGTCATACACAGGCCCAGCGAGGGTCAGGGCGAGGTTGTCTCACTGAGATAAGCCAAATGGGCTGTTGCGCTTGGATGGATGAAAATTCGATGCAATTTTGCGCACTTTGCAATAAGTCCTTCATGTGACTTTTTCAAAGAGGCGCCACATGTATTTGTGATCACTTGATGCTTGGATAAACTGATTTGTGCAATTCTAAAATCTGACAGAGTCGGGATGAATATAATGCAGCGGCCGTTCATTGATTAACCTCAGAAAGTCCCCCGGCTGCATTATTAGCAGCTTGTGCAAGCTCATTAGCGGAGGGGATGTTTTTCATGTCTTGAGACTTGGCGTGTGACACAGCGGACAGCGCACCAACTGTGACGCTTTAAATGGATCCACTAACCTCATTTAAGAGGGCTTCCTCTCCCCCTGACACTTGCGCCGCTGGCGTGTTAAGATGATAATGAATTTAAAGAACACTTATGACGAATATGTCAGGCTTTTACCCTTTAGAAAGGCGACGGACTCACTGGAGCCGTAGCTCCGGTCTGTCCTGGGCATCCGTCTCGGCCCCGCTTTATCCGCCGATGCAGGTCTGGACGAAAGGGATAATGGGATGTCCAATCACAGAAATGTGATTTCCATTGACCGCAGCTTCGTAAGTGAGTCGCAGAAGGGTCTTAACAAATTGGATTTGGCCATTGGATGTGAAAAATACAGGGCGCCTGTATATATGTGTGTGTGTGTGTGTGTGTGTGTGTGTGTGTGTGTGTGTGTGTGTGTGTGTGTGTGTGTGTGTGTGTGTATCATCAGCGGCGGCCACAACGTGTCGCTAAATTGAGGCCAAGTGTGTGTGTCCAAAATATGTCTTCTCCACATAACCTTGTATGGCTTAATGGGCTGAATAAGAAGCACACTTCTGCTTTTATCTCCTCAGTTCTTCCCTTTATATTCAGTTTGAGCCACAGGTGACGACAACTACAAATTGCCGTTTTATAGGAGGACTACAGGACCGAGGATTATAACGCCGGTTGATACATCACGACCTATCACAGAAATCGCCACGATCTATGCTGTGTGTGCCCACTAGAGCATCAACAACATTTGAGATACTTGAGCCACCCAAATAATATTTAACAAGGGCACCAGAAGGAAAATCATTGATGTATCACACTTCATGTCCAGTATGGTAAACCCATGGAACATTTCATCTCAAAGATGAAATACCGTACAACAAAAAAAAAAACAAAATAAGACCTTACTTACTGTTTCATTTTTCAGTTCATTTAAAGATTGATTAAAAAGTGCTGACAAAAAGTCGGGGTTAATTACCCAGTTACCATCTCTGGAGCCTGCTGATGTCTTCTGTTTATCCTCCTTCGGGGGAAGGGTAAGCGGTGGGGGGTGGGTG